TCCCTGTGATGAGGAAAAGCTCCAGCAATAGGGAGCTGTTGAAGCCTTTTCCACTGCTTCCTCTTCCCTGCCAGAGTCTTTCCCCACTGTCAAAACCTTTCACTATGGCAGGAAAGGGCCAGCAGCAGGGGGGCAGTGGGACACTACACCGCTAAAAATAGAAGTGGGAAGCACTGTGGAGTGTATAGAGAGCCGTGTAGGAGATATGCCAGAACCTTAGGGTGTGTCTTTACTCTACTTGTCTAAGCAGTGCCTCGTCATCTACACTGCTATTTATATCTGTTCTAGGCATGTGTGCAGTGCTTGTACTATACATGCCACCATAAATGAAGCCCTAGATCATGATCCTGGAACTTGTCACACCCAGAGAGACTGATGCACTTGAACAGAACCTCATTGAAGATAATGGGGCTCCACACAGGCATAGCAGTTCACATGAGTGCAAGTTGCAGGATCAGGCCCTTGGTCCACACTGTTCTGCTTAATTTTTACAGGTCTGTGAACAGTTTTTACTTCAGTAAAGATTCCTCCTCTTATTCTTAAAGTTTCTAGTTGTTCATTAAATTTATTCACCCAGCAGATCTGGTTTAAATGCTCTTCAAACTGTACCAGTGGCATTTCCATTCTGCCATGGCACCTTTGTCACACCATTAAATGTTATTTAAACATGTGCAACTCCCCAGCAGCAAAGATGTTCATCAATGCTCACAACAAAACCCTCTAATATAAACACCCTGAAATATCATTTACTGCATTTTTGCAGTAACACTCTGCAGGAACAGGCTCTGCTTGATGGAGCAGCTGGTACGGGGACCCACAAGGGGAGAGGCAACTCTAGATTTAGTCCCGAGTGGAGCGCAGGAGCTGGTCCAAAAGGTAACTATAACAGGACCATTTGGAAATAGTGACCATAATACAATAGCATTCAACATCCCTGTGGTGGGAAGAACAACTCAACAGCCCAAAACTGTAGCATTTAATTTCAGAAAAAGGAACTATGCAAAAATGAGGAGGTTAGTTAAACAGAAATTAAAAGGTACAGTGACTAGAATGAAATCCCTGCAAGCTGCATGGACACTTTTCAAAGACACCATAATACAGGCCCAACTTAAATGTATACCCCAAATTTAAAAACACAGTATAAGAACTAAAAAAGAGCCACTGTGGCTTAACCATGTAAAAGAAGCAGTGAGAGATAAAAAGGCATCTTTTAAAAAGTGGAAGTCAAATCCTAGTGAGGTAAATAGAAAGGAGCATAAACACTGCCAAATTAAGTGTAAAAACGTAATAAGAAAAGCCAAAAAGGAGTTTGAAGAACAGCTAGCCAAAAACTCAAAAGGTAATAACAAAAGGTTTTTTAAGTACATCAGAAGCAGGAAGCCTGCTAAACAACCAGTGGGGCCCCTGGACGATCGAGATACAAAAGGAGCGCTTACAGACAATAAAGTCATTGCAGAGAAACTAAATGAATTCTTTGCTTCAGTCTTCATGGCGGAGGATGTTAGGGAGATTCCCAAAGCTAAGCCATCCTTTGTAGGTGACAAATCTGAGGAATTGTCACAGATTGAAGTGTCATTAGAGGGGGTTTTGGAATTAATTGATAAACTTAACAGTAGCAAGTCACCAGGACCAGATGGCATTCACCCAAGAGTTCTGAAAGAACTCAAATGTGAAATTGCGGAACTATTAACTAGGGTTTGTAACCTGTCTTTTAAATCAGCTTCTGTACCTAATGACTGGAAGATAGCTAATGTAATGCCAATATTTAAAAAGGGCTCTAGAGGTGATCCCGGCAATTACAGACCGGTAAGGCTAATGTCAGTACCGGGCAAATTAGTTGAAACCATAGTAAAGAATAAAATTGTCAGACACATAGAAGAACATAAATTGTTGGGCAAAAGTCAACATGGTTTCTGTAAAGGGAAATCATGTCTTACTTATCTATTAGAGTTCTTTGAAGGGGTCAACAAACA